ATGACAGATAGATAGGTTTGGGGCACACTGGAATGTACCACAAGAGCCATTTGAGAAGATGAAGTCTGTTTGTACCCAGTCAACTAAGACAGTCAGTTGAATAATACACATTTCAGAATGGAGGAAAGGCCAGATGCTCTTCCTTGACTTGCTGGAGTATGGGGCACTGTTGGGGGCCATTCTCACTGGTCTTTCTAGATGCAAAGCAGTCACCTTCCACAGCTGTAACCTCTGGTGCAGGCCTCCATTGTCTCTGGAGGTGGGAGTGCCTGGTGACTTGTTTCTCTTAAGGAAGGGGCTAGGAAGGGGACCCACACACAAGGCTCTGAGAGTCTGTGCCTTTCTTGTCACTGAGAAGGAAAGTCTTGGGAATGGGGCTGTGGGGAGGGTCACTCTGCCCCATGGTGGAGAAGGAAAGTCTTGGGAATGGGGCTGTGGGGAGGGTCATTCTGCCCCATGGTGGGGAAGGAAAGTCTTGGGAATGGGGGTGTGGGGAGGGTCACTCTGCCCCATGGTGGGGAAGGAAAGTCTTAGGAATGGGGCTGTGGGGAGGGGATGCTCTGCCCCGTGGTAGAGCGATCCCATGTGCTCATGAGGTTTTCCACAGCAAATCTCTGATGACCTCTGACCAGAGCTGAGCCTTGCTGAACTCAGGGGAACCACAGGCACTCTCAGGCCGGATCACCCACACCCTACCCACTCTGGACTTGGGGTTTTCTATCATTCTCTCATTTTATCCTTATGAGAATCCCACCTAGGAAATAGCATAGTGCTCACTGCTTTAATGGTGGAGAAAGCGAAGAACAGAGAGGTTGCACAATTTATCCGAAGTACTCAGCTAAGCAGGATTGGAGCCCATCCTGTCTGACTACAGAGTGCTAGCTCTTGGTTACTCTGGAGTGAGAACAAGTCTAAGGCTGGGAATGGGTCATTTCCTCTCTGCCTTCCCATCCCATCCCTGTAGACTAAGACAAGCGGGATCTTGTCCTAAACCTGAGAAGGCACTGTTCTGACCCCTCTCCTACGGATGCTCCAAAGATTGAAACGATGGCAAAGCCAAGGGCCCTCGCTCATCTTTAAGCCATCTTAAGTCATGCCTTGGGTACCAGGATGTGAGCTAGCATGGAAAGCTAGCTTCTCAGAGCCCTCTTTCCTAGACTGCCTCTGCCACAGAAGCACATGCCCTTTGCCCGTGGAACAGAAAAGGCAGCTGTACGTAGTAGGTCTACTCAGCCCTACGAGATTCAAGTGGAAAGTGATGTGGACAGACAGAGGGTAGGAGAACTCTGGGCCTGTAACTGTGAAGAGTGATCCTGCCAATCCCTACCCTCTCTCTGTCTGATATGAGAGGCATGTGGGCTCAGTGAAGACCTTTAGAGCACAGACATGGTCCTAACCCTGACCTCTTCATGTCTGAGTCGCACACTGTGGGAGTCCTGATTTTCCTGTCCTGGGCTTGTCTAGGCTTCTCCAAGGAGCAAGTTGCATGTCTGAGAACTGTGGGAGTGGGGACACAGCCCCTCAGTCCTCCTCCTGGTCCCATGTTCCCCGAGCCCCACAGGGGCCAGACACTCCTCCAACACCTGGGTGGATCTGCTGCACCTGGATTTCTGTGCCGCCAGGGGTGATAGTTTTCTTCAACGCCTGGATTCTTGACCGTTGCCTTTCTTGGGAACCTCTCAAGCCCTTGTTTCCTCAGGACAGTGTACGGAGGAGGCCCCAGGCCAAAGGAATGGGAGGAGGAGGGCTGAGCCAGTCCTGGGGGCCCAATGGGTGACTCTTGTCCTCAGGAGGCCTTGGCCGTCCTTTTGTGGCACTTCCAACCATGACTCCAGGTTTCCTCCTGGCAATGCCAGGGGGCCTGTGGTCTGCTGAGGGACTCCTGGGTTGTGTTACCGTACTAATTACTGCTCTATTGTTGGGAAGAGATATAGTAATCAAGGCAACTTCTAAAAGGAAATATTTAGTTGGGGACTTGCTTACTTGTTTACATGATTATTATGACAGGGAGCATGGCAGCAGGCAGGCAGGCATGGTGCTGGAGCAGTAGCTGAGAGCTCACATCTGATCCACACGCAGCAGACAGAAAAACTGGACTTGGTGTGGGCACCAGTGATACACCTCCTCCAACAAGGCCATACCTCCTAATTCTCCCTAAACAGTCCATCAGCTGGGAAACAAACATTAAAATATAGGAGCCTATGGGAGGGGGGGTGGAGCATTCTCATTCAAATCTCCATAGTCACTATCCCTGTGAAAAGGCCTTCAGGACCCTCACATCCCCCGAGTTGTATATGTACAGCTTTTTATTCTGAGGGACCTTTTTCTGGAAACTTCCCTCGAGTACCAGTAGCCAGAGGTTTTAGTCAGGAAAGGTGGTGGGCAACTGGACCTCCTTTGGCATGTTCACAATAAGAGCTGAGCGTCTCTTAGTCTCGTGAGCTCTCGAGGCTGTGTTTCTGGACTTCAGATAGCCAGGGTCTGCAAGGACTCATTCCAGGAAGGGCAGCTGCCTCCCGCCGCCCTGTAGAATTCCACTCATGGAACCCGATGGAGTCTGCAGAAGTCAGTCCGGGCTGCCAGCAGAGGGCAACAGAGAAACAGCGGGGGGTTTTTCTTGCTTGCTTTTATTTTTATTTTTAGTAAAGTCAAATGTATTCTAGCTACAAGATATTTTCTTATGACTTTTTTTGTTGTTGTTCAAATAGTCTCTTTGCGATGATGGTGCCTTGCAACCTAACAGTTAGCATAGTTTCCTAATTACTCACTCATTCTGTGTTCTGTGTTCCTGATCTAAACGTGCTCATTCAGTGCTCATAACGACCACGATGTTGTCAGCACTGTTATTATCTCCGTCTTGCACATAAGGAAGTTGAAGTACAGATAATAACATGCCCAAGGTCACTAGACTAGAAAGTCATGAACCTGGGATTTGAACTCCTGGGGTTTGAACCTCCGCAAGTCATGTAAACAGGTGAGAAGGTACCACTGCGGTTTGCAGAGTGCATGTTTTCTGATGGGCAGGGGCTACTGAACCCCAGTTGGTCTTGTCAGGTGGGATTGTGAACCTGCTGTTTCTAGATAATTCTGAAATGTGGATTTTCAGTATGGGATTCCCAGTTTTTATGTGTGACCTACAAGTTCACCAAGGACTAAACAAAATGTGCCTGTAGGCTACGACGCTGCTCATCTGTGATCTGTTAGTAGATTCTGATGGGTTTCTTTTGTAGTTGTTTGTTTTTAGCCAGGACCTCTTAATATAGCCCAAGTTGCCCATGAACTTACTAGGTAGCCCAGGCTGGCCTAAAACTTCCAACTTAAAACTAAAACTCCTGCCCTATCTCTGCCCCAGCCTCCAGAGTGCTATGATTGGCAACACACTGGTGGGAACCACTGTTCTAGACTTTTTTTTTTTAAATGAATACTTAGTAAATGAAGCTTGGTCTCCCTGGGTTTCCTTTGGGTCTGGACTCCAGAAAGTTCCTTGGTACTGGAACAATGAGGGACAGCAGGGCAGGGAGGGCAGCATTTGGTACAGTTCTGAGGGGCCCGTGTCACTCTCAGCAGACCTAACTAAGAGCAGGGTACAGGGATGCAGCATGCCACAAGAATATATTATAGAGATTTAGCTGTAAATAATAAGCTTTACCTTGATCGACCAAGGAGTCCTTCAAGAGGAAGCCATTTGTCAAGGTATATTTGGTGTTATTTAGCTTTTAATACATATCAGCTGTCTTCTGCTATGAAATCCTTGTGAGCCCATATACTACTAGGCCATACGGCAAACAGCATAAACAGCTCAGACCTACTGCTGATCCACTAGGTAACTAACACCCCTGCAGGGCCTAGGAGACAGGTGGGCTGTAGATGCACAGCTTTGTTTCTTGTGCAAATAAAGCTCAGACCATCCCCTTCCTTCAGGCCTAGTAGCATTGCAGAGCAATTGACTCAGGACAATAGGGCCTTTTGCATAACCAGGTGCAGTAAAGACTGGAGCAGAACTCCTGGTCCAGGCAGAGCGGTGTGTGTGGCTGGAGAGAAGAGAAGAAGGCAGAGTTTCTCAGAGCCAGGGGTAAGGATCAAGAAGGAAAGATGGAGGGTGAAGGAACAGAGATGAAGATGAGGTCAAAAGCACAGGAGCTTAGTTAGGCCTATGACAGGGCAGTAGGTACAGAGAGGAGCTGAATGTGAGGATGGAGCTGAAGCTGTATAGATAGAATTTTGTCTTAGAGAAATAAAGTTAATAGACGAAAGAGTGTGGTGTATATAGATTCCTTTTCCTCAGTTAACCCCACACCAGATGTAGCGTCTTCCCCAGGACCCTGGGAGGGATTTTCTCAGGGCAGACACTTGGGAAAATTCCACTACAGGGACTCTTCTTAGCCATCCTCTGAAGTATGCTGAGATCTGGAAATCAAGAAGGATTATGGGTTAGAAATTTCCAACTTAGGGCAGCCCATATTTTACGTGTTATCTCGAATAATTCCACACTACCTATGCCCCTCTCCCTTGCTTTTTTTTTTTTTTTTTCTCTTTCCATATCATTTTCCAATCCGAAAAGAACATGGACATTTCAGAAGACCCAGGTCTTGGTCCTGTCATGGCCACTAACTTGCAGGGTATCTAGACAGGCAATGTGGCTGGAACCTTTGCTTCCAGGAAGTAAGAACACGGCCCTACCTTTTGCAAGGCTGCTGTAAGGTGGTACGAACAAGCTGCTAAAAACACAAGCTGGGGCTGGGGCTCATTGGTAAAGTTTTCCCAGCATGTACTGGCCCTAGGTTCTGTCCCTACCAGCCCTAGGTTCTGGTCCCCAGCAATGATCACACAAGCAACTGTTTGCCAAAACCATGGCCTCCCTGAAGAGGCCAGTTCTTGCTCACAGCCTGATCTTGCCTTGAGGGCGATGGTCACTTTCTAGTGCTCTGGGCGCTGCAGTGTGATACCCTTATTAAAGACACCCTTTTTGTTTTGTTTTCTGTCCCCCTTGGATCTAGAAGATGTTCCCAGGAGCCTGGCTGTGCTGGGCCTCACTCCTGCTCCTGGCCAGGCCCACCCAGCCTTGCCCTATGGGCTGTGACTGCTTCGACAGAGAGGTATTCTGCTCAGACAAGCAGCTGGTCACCATCCCACTGGACATCCCCTCACATGTCACAGACATTGTCTTTGTGGAGACTGCCTTCACCACGGTGGGGACCAGAGCTTTCAGCGGCAGCCGCAACCTGACCAAGGTGGTCTTCCTCAACACTCGGGTCCGCCACCTGGAGCCCGATGCCTTTGGGGGGCTGCCCTGGCTGGAGGACCTGGAGATCACTGGCAGCCCCTTCTCCAACCTCAGTGCTGACGTCTTTTCTAACCTGGGCTCCCTGGAGAAGCTCACCTTGGACTTCGACAGGCTGGTGGCTCTGCCTGAGGACCTCTTCCATCACATGGACAACCTGGAGTCCCTTCAGCTTCAGGGAAACCAGCTCCAGACCCTGCCCGGGAGACTACTCCAGTCCCTGAGGTCTCTAAGAATCCTCAACCTGGAGCAGAACCTTCTGAGCAAGCTCCCCGAGGGGCTGTTCCAGTCACTCATCAGCCTGCAGACACTGAAGCTGAGTAACAACATGTTTACCAGGCTCCCCGAGGGCTTGCTGGGCGATCTGGGCAGCCTGCAGGAGCTCTTTCTGGACAGCAATGCCATCGCGGAGCTGTCCCCACACGTGTTCTCACAGCTTTTCAGCCTGGAGAAGCTCTGGTTGCAGCACAATGCCATCAGCCAGCTGCCGGTCTTGGTCTTCTCCTCCTTGCACAACCTGACCTTTCTAAACATGCAGGGCAATGCGCTGCAGACCCTGCCTGCCGATCTCTTCGCCCACAACCCAGGGCTGCTTCACCTGTCCCTGTCCTACAACCAGCTGGAGACCATCGCCGAGGGGACCTTTGCCAACCTGTCCCGCCTCGCTTCCCTCACGCTCGCGCACAATGCCATCACCCACCTCCCCCGGGATGTCTTCAGGGACCTCAGGCGGCTGGTCAAGCTCTTTCTGAACAGCAACAACTTGACGGCCTTGCACCCAGCCCTCTTTCAGAACCTGTCCAGGCTTGAGGTGCTCAACTTGTCTAAGAATCAGCTGACCGTGCTCCCCGAGGGCATCTTCGACACCAACTATGACCTCTTCAACCTGGCCTTGTTCGGCAACCCCTGGCAGTGTGACTGTCACCTAGCCTACCTGGCCAGCTGGCTCCGCCTCTACAGTGACCAGCTCTTCAACACCCATACCTACTGCGCAGGCCCAGCCTACCTCAAGGGCCAGTTGGTGCCCAGCTTGAAACAGGAGCAGCTAGTGTGCTCTGTCATCCCGGGCCACTTGGGCTTCCCAGGCCTGGGGGCGCTGGGTGGCAGGGAGCCATTGGGCAGTTGGGATCTGGCAGTGGAGGGGAGGGCAGCCCACAGTCAGTGTACCTACAGCAACCCCGAGGGCACCGTGGTGCTTGCCTGTCAGGAGGCCCAGTGTCGCTGGCTGAGTATTCAGTTGTCTTCCAGGGAAGGCTCAGACTCCCCGGCAATGGCCTACAACTCCAGTCAGGAGTGGGAGTTGAGGTCAACCTGCGGCTCCATGAGAGTCACTGTGACTATCGAGGCTCAGGCTGCTGGGCCCTAGGTGCAGCAAAGAGAAGCATGGACAAAAGGGTGACTTTGGGGGGCAGAGGGAGCTGAGTGTCCGAAGCTAAGATAAGGGACATGGCCACATCTCCAGAGTAGGGAAGAGTGAGGCCTGCTTCATATAGCATCTCCTCATCTTTCCTCATCATGCCCTCTTGGAGCCTGTGGCCCAACAAGGTCATCCTCAAACCTAGAGTCGTGGTTCTCAACCTTCCTAATGCTGTAACCCTTTAGTACAGTTCCTCATATTGTGGTGACCCCCTCCAACCATACAATTATTCTTGTTGCTACTTCACAACTGTAATTTTGCTACTGTGATGAATCATAAGTGTAAATATATCTTGGAGATGGAGGGTTGTCAAAGGGGTCATGACCCACAGGTTGAGAACCACTGGTCTAGAGCCTAAACCATCCCCAGCCATAGCGTTTTCCTATTCTCTAACCCCACCCCACTCCCTGCCCTGAGCTCTAGCCTTGAGGTATGCTCAACACTATTGGAGTTACACAAAGAAGAGGCCACATCCCTTTGATAGATCAAAAGCCATCTGTCTGTTCTCACTTCTCACCCCCAATTTTGTTTTCGATGGGTAGAGAGGAAAGGGATATTAGAGGAGCTGGAGTGACCAGAAAAGGGCAGGACAGGGTTGTGTGGGGAGATGGCACTGTCCTGGCCACCTCTCAAGCTGCATCCAGGAGGAGTCAAGGCAAGATGGCGCCTTAGGCGGGCAGAGCCGGCCTGCTTGGCTCTCAGGAAGGCAGTGTGGCTTTCCCTGTTCAGCATACAAGATGGCCATTTGTTGTGGATATTGCTCTGTATGCTGTGAATGTGTTGCTCTGATTGGGTTGATAAGTGAAATGCTGATTGGCCAGTAGCCAGGCAGGAAGTATAGTATAGGCAGGATACGCAGAGAGGAGAATGCTGGGAACAGGAAGGCTGAGACAGAAGACACTGCCAGCCACCACCATGAGAAGCAAGATATAAAGATACCAGTAAGCCACCAGCCACGTGGCAAGGTATAGATTTATAAAAATGGGTTAACTGAAGATGTAAGATCTAGCTAGCAAGAAGCCTGAGCCATTAGGCCATACAGTTTGTAATTAATATAAGCCTCTGTGTATTTATTTGGGTCTGAGCGGCTACGGGCCCGGGCAGGACTGGAGAAAACTTCAGCTACAGCCATTCCCTGAGGAGCGGGCAGAGGGGAGCTGGTGGATCGGGGTAGCTGCTTTGTAACGAGGCTTTCAGGGCATCTGACTCTGAGCTGCTCATCCACTGAACGGCTCTCCTCAGGCTTCTAAGACGTCTCCACTGTCCCATCTCGTGGTGTCTCTCAGCTCAGAGGACAAAGTCCTCAGCACTGGTGACCTCACTTCTCCATCTTAGGCTCAGCACTTCTCAGCTGCACGCCACCCTCTACAAGGTTAGCCACAGCACATCTCAACTGTGTCCCCACCAACTCCAGATTCCCATTCAGCAGAAGGGCCAGCCCAGAACTTAGGAGCTTGCCCTAAGGAACATTGACCAAACTAACCCAACCTGGGGGAGGAAAGGGTTTTATTTGGCTTATGAGTTCATATCATAGTCCATCATAGTAGGAAGTCAGGGCAGGAACTCAAGGCAGGAACCGTAGAGGAGCACTGTTTACTGCTTGCTTTCATGTTCAGCTACCTTTCTTAGACTTCACAGGGCCACCTGCCCAGGGGGTGGTACTGTCCACAGTGGCCTGGGCCCTTCCCATGTCAGTCAATCATCACTCAAGAAAAAGCCCCACAGCTGGGCATGGTGGTGCACACCTTTAATACAAACATCCAGGAGACAAGCAAGTGGATCTCTGTGAGTTCAAAGCCAGTCTTGTCTACATAGAGATTTCCAGACCAGTCAGAGCTACACAGTGAGACTCTGACTCACCAATAAAAATAAATAAATATAAATATAATAATAATAATAATAATAATAATAATAATAATAATAATAATAATAAGGCCCCAAAGACTTGCCTATAGACCAATCTGATAGAGGCCTTTTCTCAACTGAGGTTTCCTTTCTAGATGACCCTAGCTTGTCCAAGTTAACAAAACTAACCAGCATAGGAGGCCTGTGGATCCTTTAGAAAACCATAGGCTGAGCAGAATGGGAGCTGAGTTCTGGAGACATTAGAGCAGGGGAGCCAGGGCCCTGGAGGTGGGAGAGTGGGTAATGAAGAAGAGTGGGTGATGAAGGCCAATGCTTAGAGCCCAGAGGAGCCTCTGGGCCTCCTGGGGCTCTGGGGTATGATGTAGTGGTAAGGAGTCTGGGAACAGACCCTAGGCCCTCTGCAAAAACAGAAGCATTCTTAACTGCTGAGCCATCTCTCCAGCCCCCTTTGAGGAATCCACCCTTCTTCTTCCCAGCATTCTTAGTTTGGCTCTCCCTCCTAACCTTATCCTGTTCTGCTATTGGCCAGTCAGCTTCTTTGTTAAACCAATCATAGCAACATATATTCACACAGTATAAAGGAATATTCCACATTTCCCTCCTTTTTGTCTAATTAAAAAGGAAGGTTTTAACTTTAATGTAGTAAAATTATATACAACCAAAACAGTTATCAAGTAAGAATTACAGTTACAATCTCTAGTCCATTTGTATTTGGCAAAATTAGAGAAAATATTCCATTATCCATTTTATCTTTGTGACTCTAAAGTTTTATACCTACTTTACCTTTTATCATAACTAAAGAAAACTTTAGTGATGACTACCTAGTCTTCAACTCTGTCAAAGACCCCAGAAGGGTGAAATATTACCTAACAACAGGGACATTTGCCTGGACAGTCACCCAAAGTTATTCTGTAACGTTGGGAGAGCCAACTTTGGCCTACAGACCTAGTATATTGACAGACAATTTTGAGAAGCAGGGAATTTCGAAGGACTGTCCTACCTTGTCTTGGCAAAGTTTGGCAGTTGCTGTTTTTGTGTCCTGTTGGTCCAGTTTGGACAGCATACTGTCAGCAACTGAAGCAAGGGCAGTTCCTTTGCCCAAATGGCTAGCTTTTGCCATAAAGAATACAAACTCCATACGGAGTTCTTTGATGCCCATCATCTTCTCTGAAGTAGGTTGATGCTGTCAGGAGCAGATGTGTCTCACTGTCATGAAAAGCCTTATGTTATTAAAACATTTTAAATGCCATATTCTGTAGGTCTTTGAAGTGTTTGAAGACCATATATCCATCTAAATATATCTGTTTAAACTTGAAAACATACGTAACATGACTACAAGTTTGAATGTAATAGATGACTAACTACTAACCTGCATTTCCTTTTATTATCCTAAATAGTTTGTAATAATAACTTTCAAGGACTAGAAATTTACATTACATTGTTAAATGAGCTGTATAGGTACATACCTTAAACAAGAGTAGAAACATATGTACAATATGTTCTAAAAAACCCTTAAATTTGTATCAATATGCAAAAATATCTTAAACAAGAGTAGAAATATATATATAGTATAACAAAATAACCTCAAATTTGTATCAATATACAAAAATCCATACCTATGTAAAATATTTTAGACTAGTAGTTGCTTTTATGGTTTAAAAATATATTCATTAATTCACCTTTTTATCTTATTACTTCTATATCCCCTCCTTTTCTTTTTAGAATGAGATCTAATCTCCTTTGTTTAGACCATTATCAATAACAACTTGTAACCAATCCCCCTTAAATGATAATAAACATCCATAACCCATCTTTTGAGAATATGGATGTCATTCTCTAGACTACTTCTTGTTGTTTGGGGGCATTGTCATCTTTGGGAGAACCTTGAGAAAATCAGGATAATTGTTACGTCTTGGCTGGAGTATTCTGTGAGGCTGGATCATCTCAGCAGCCTTGAAGCTGTTTTGGATGCTGGATTACCTGGCCGTCTGTTTTCACTGATGTCTGGTCTCCTTGCTCTGAAAATATACAAACTTTTAAAGGTAACATACATATCTACATTAATACAATTATACAGTGTGTATTGTACATAAGTCAGCCAAAGATGATTTTTTGAGCAGGTAAAATATACACCATCTGTCTTGTAGTTCTTCCAGGTTAATTTCTTTATGTTTGTAGCCAGGATTTTCAGGGGGTCTTCCCCGATTAAACCTGATCATCTTTAACTTTGAGTGAATCCACAGCCTTCCATTTCCTGTGGAAATAAACGCATAACCTCTTTCCCAAAGTAACATATCTTTTGACTTACATCTTGAAGTTAAGACATTTTTAAAATATATAAATTGGTTTAATTTAGCAGCTTTCATAATCTAATGTGTCTTAGCAGCTGTCACTCCTTCCTCAGCAGTCAAAAAATTCAAAGACAACACAATAACTGAAAACAGCATCCAGACTCTCTGTGTATCTTCCATTTTTATGTGACTTATATTTTTTATTACTCTATTCCTTTATTATGGACTTTACTTTGTTATTTTAAAACTGTATTTTTTAATTTAAGACTGTATATACTCTTTCTCTTCTCTTTTCCAAGTCTATATACATACATACACACACACACACACACACACACACACACACACACACACACACACACATATATATATATATATATAAACACACTGTAACCCATTCAGAAGGATTTTTTGTTTGTTTGAATCAGTTTTTACTGCATATCCGTAATCTTTTTCTGACTGCATGAGCCTTTAAACTGGGAGATGCTTTTCTGTACTGCAGCTGGTGTGAGAGACTGTGGGAACCTGCCATGTAGCTTATCTCATGGTGCACTGGCAGCTAAAGCCTGCAGGCAGTGGCCAGGAGACAAGTTCCCGTACCACAGCCAGCACGAGAGACACGAGACTAGGAAGCTACTCTTGGCTCTGTTTCTGTGTGTCGAGAACTTTTTTTTAAAGCTTCCTCAGGCTTTATATGGACGTATGCTCCTCACATTGGATGCCATTTGTAGGCAGAGTTTTTATCCCACCAGCAGCTCCCAAATAAACACACTGAGGTTTATATTAATTATAAATGTTTGGCCAATAGCTCAGGCTTGTTACTAGCTAACTCTTATACTTTTCAATTAACCCATATTTCTTATCTATGCTTTGCCATGTGGCTTGGTACCTTTTCTCAATACAGCATGCCCATCTTGCTTCTCTCTGCATCTGCCCAAAACTCCAGACTGGGCCCTCCTTCCTCCCAGCATCCTCAGTTTGGCTCTGCCCACCTAACCTTGTCCTGTTCAGCTATTGGCCAGTCAGCTTCCTTGTTTAACCAATCACAGCGACATATATTCACACAGTGTAAAGGAATATCCCGCATCTGTGTTTGTTAAGGATTCTGCAGGCAATTCACACAGAGGCAGGACATGCTCCTGTCTGTGCTTCAAGCAGTTGGCCAAGAACAAGAAACTAGGAAAACAGTTTGAGCTGGTGCCTGGCTAGAGATGAGAACCAACAGGGCAAGGGGTGCTGTGGAAATATAACCAGATTTCAGCAACTTGGCAGCACCTGTACAGATGGATTGAAAGTCCTAACAATGAACTCCAGAATACAGATGACAAGTGAAGTCATCGTCGGTACTACTTTACATCTCTTCCGCAGAAACTGGAAGGCCGAACAGCTCAAATGCAGTGGGGTAACAGGGCCCCAGACCTTAGCACAACTGACTCCATGATGGAAGTGCCATTCAGACTATAACACTCAACACGAAGACAGCACCTCCAGCCAAAATGAAAACAAAGGCCTAACCCATCAAAGTCCACGATTCTATTAGAGTCTCTTAAATGTACTAACCTTGCTTTTTGGCTTCTGCAGTTCTGCTTCTGGCTAACTGTTCTTGTTAGTGGAAGCATGTCAACCCAGAACATGGTTTTTGTGCTTCAAAGCTCACGCTGAGAAAGGTTCGGAGCTACACTGGGATCCCAAACACACAGTGTAGTTGCGTGCTGGCTAATAAAGACTTTTTATTGGCTTTAAACCCACGTCTGAGTAGTCTTCTCCGGTGAATGCTCACAACAGGGACGGGGACCTGCAGTGCTGCTGGTGAATGTAGCCCCTCCGCTTGGGGAGGGGCCAAGTGGGTGGGTGTGGCAGGAGATGCAGAGGAAAAGCCTGCTCTCTTCTGAAGACAGTGAGGATGTGAACAAGGGCAGAGGCAGGTCAGGCAAACGGAGGGGCCATGTGGAGCAAAGCTTCCCCTCCATCTTGAAGCTCAAATGGATTAATTTGAAAATGATAGGAATCTGCTGACTAGCAGATTCACCAAAGCAACAGAGTCCCAGATCCACTTGGTTCCAACGTCATTTGGTTGAAGATTAATCCGGACCACATCTTGCAAGGGTGGACAGCTTGGCCTAGAAAGGCTGAGGAGGCTGTGCTATGCTGGACTGCCGACTCCATCAGGTGGGAAGTCCACCACTGGAGAGACTTCAACAGCTCAACATTGGAGGAGCTTTAGGACCGCCCATTCACAGAACACCTGCGTTCCGGGCATGACCCAAGAAGTCATTCCTTCACTACAGAGAGAAGGGACAAAGACAGCTAACATGTCTCTCAATGACTTTTTAAAAGCGTAACTCTTGGGCTGCTGGGATGGTCGGCTCAGCACATAGAAGCATTTTTTTTTAGTAAAACTGATGACCTGGATTTGATCCCAGATCACATGGCAGAAGGCGAAAACTGGCTCCCAGGAGTTGTCCACTGACTTTCACAAACATGCGGTAGTAGGTGCATACCCGCACACATCTGTATTCACACGTGTGAGCGTACACGCATGCACAGAGTAATAATACAACTTTTTTTTAAAAAATTTAAAAGCATAACTCTGGATTACATTAGAATGTAGTAAGATCTTGAGCCAAATGATACTGCTGGGGGAAGAACACTGGTCAACAACCAGCTTACATCAAGGTAAGCTGTGTGGCTTCCAGTGTGCTACTTGGTACCCAGGGGGTCCTCACGTCATGTCCCCTTGTGGGGTGATCCAGCCTGATCCAACAGCTGAGATTTTTTTTTCCTGAAAGATTTATGTTAGTTTTAATTATGTATATGTAGGCATATCTGTGTAGGAGTATGGGAATGTGCATTCAGGTGCCCTTGGAGGACAGAAAAAGAAGGTCAGATCCTGGAACTCAAGTTTCAGGCAGTTGTGAGTCCCTTGGCATGGGTCCTAGGAACAGAACCCAGGTTTTCTGGAAGAGCAGTACATGCTGCTTGTTTTTAACCACTGAGTCATGTCCACAGACACCAAGAGTTGAGAGGGTTTTTGTTTGTTTGTTTGTTTTTATTCTAAGCTACAAATCAGTGTATCTGTCCTCTGCTTCCAGAACATTTGACATTTAGTAAATTATGTCCTCTTGTGGTGGTATTTGCTCCACCCATGACCTTGGGCTATACGGCCCAAAGGAGGCAGTGCTTCCCGCCCTTGTATGTGACCTCTGATAAGGAGTTGGAGAAGGGTCACATGACCCTTCTTGCTGCTCCTGCCTGCGAGGTGGATTCGCTCTGGTCAGATCAGAGGATGACTTCTGCTCTCTACTCTGTTCTGTAATTGTGAGTGTATTTCTTCAATTTATATCTTAATAAATTCTGTTACCCGTTTAATAGACTCAAGTGGATTGATCATAATCCCCTCTGGCTAGGTCTGTTTCTGCATCTGTGCAACAAGGAGCATGACTGAACCCCAGAAACATCCAGGGATCTTTAGAAACAGACAAACATCAGGGGCTGGTGCTGTAGTTTGGTGGCATTTTTCTGGATATGGTGATGTATACCAATAGCCCTAACTACTTAGGGGGCTGAGGCAGGAGGATCACCTGGGTCCAGGAATTAAAGTCTCACTTGGGTGATATAGGTAGAACCCATCTCAAAATTAAATAAATAAAATAACAAAAGACCAGTAAAAAAGCAAGCCAAGGTGTCTGAGCCTCATCTTCTGAGATTCTGACTAAAGTTATATTGGGGGGGTGGCAGGGAATTTGATGTCAGCCTAGATAGACATATAGATAGATAGATAGATAGATAGATAGATAGATAGAGCATTCATTCATAATTCTAACCCACAGCCAGGGTTGAAAACAAGGCTCAGCTTGCATAGGTACCACCCAGATGTGTGCCCAACAGTACCACTTGTATCCTAAGCCAGGGTTGTGGTGTGAATGTTGGTCTCATCGGACCTACCCACTATAACATGTTTGAATGAATATGTTCGAATTAATCGAGCCACAAACACTATAGAAAAACACACCTCGTATATTCTTTTCCCCCCTTGCCATTGTAGAGCGCCTCCTTCTGGCACACAGGACTCCTTCCTTTCCAGGGGGCTTTCAACACAGCAGGTCGGTGATTTCCTGCTACCTGCCAGCCATGGAACTCTGGGCAGATTGCTAAATTCTGCGCCCCAGACTCCTAACCAACTGTTCAACGCTTCACAGAGCACCAAGACAGTGGTGGAAGACAGGTTTTTGAAGAATGATTCTATTATTATTATTATTATTATTATTATTATTATTATTATTATCATTATCATCATTCAGTCTTTTGACATGATGTTTTGGTCAGTGATGGACCACGGACATAGGCTGTCTCATAAGATAATAGCAGCTGACAATTTCTTATCTTCTAGTGACATGGTAACTGTTCACACATCAGAGGACGTTACTCATCTATTTGTGGGGCTCTACTGTAAACAAACCTACTCTGTTAGCAGTCATAAAAGTATAGCATACACAATTATAGACAGCATGCTGTACCCGACAAGGACAATGAATGACGAATCTACTGGCTGACGTATTTACTGTACTGCACTATCATTGTTTCAGAGTGCATTCCTGCATGTATGAGAAACATTTACTGAAGCTAGAGACGCAGCCTGCCTGTCTAGTATGTGTGAGGCCCAGAATGCCATCCGCGGGACTCTTAAAACTTTTTTTTTTTTTTTTTTTTTTTTTTTTTTTTTTTTTTTTTACTGTACATCAGCTTGCTGTTAGACTTTGGCGTCCAAATACATCTCACGTTGCCCACTCTGGGAATTGCATGAGGCTACGTGGAGTGGCGACCTACTGTGGTATCAGTGAAGCTGATACCCACCACAGAACCTCTTAGCATTATCAGAATGTGTTCCCTGTGTGATGGGACACGGCTGTACTTTTAGAGAAGCGGGCGTGGGTAGGGATGGTAGGCCGACAAATGCCGGCCAACCCAGCACAGTGCAAGTCCCACCGTGAATTACTTCGCTCGCTTCTGAGGACACATCTGGCCGTGACCCTGCAGATGTTAGGATCCTGGTCTCGGCACGCCCCCTTGTGGCCCGTTGGAAGAACGGCTTTCCGCGGTGACCGTGACGCCTCCCTCTGCCCGCAAAGCTGCAGGACCAGGTCCTTTCCGCCCACGAGCCCAGGGACGGAGATGGCCACGTGGGCGTTCCGCCTGGTGTCGGTGAGGCCGGTCTGGCTGACTTGTTGCGCCCCTCCCACGGTGTCCAAAGGCGCCGCCC